GCTCATCCGTGTCTACTTCTCCCTCTTTTGCTCATCCGTGTCTACTTCTCTTTCTCTCTCCTCCTCCACTTTCGTGTATTCCTTCTTTGTTTCTTCATTAGTCCCTCTTCGACTTCCATACGTATAGTTCCAATGCCATAGTTCCATTGAATTTCAAAGCATTTAAGCAAACAATAAGAAAAAAAGTGAAATAGCAGTGGAAAACTTTTGAACAATAGACAGCGTTACTTACATTTATGTTCACCCATTTTGATAAAAAACTATTTATATATATATATATAATTTTTACACATTCAATATGTTTTTCTCTCTTTTGAACAACTACACATATCGGCACTAACTTATACCACAATGCAACATCTACGGATATGCGTGTTGTATATCAACATTTCTGTCTCTCATTCTATCGTCATACACCCATCACATTGCAAAATAGAAACAGATACGTATTTTCCTCTTGAAAGATATCATGAGAGGTGAAGTAATGCAGTAACACGTTTTATGCAGATGCGTAGCGACCTCTTTTGCCAACGCTCCCAACCCACTCTCTCTGTGCGTTTAAGCCAGGGAGGTCGAACGAAGGCTTCACACCAACACGTCTCTCTAAACAAGGTCTAGCAGTGTTGTCCGTGGGCCACATGGTTGATTCTAGTCACTCAGTTCTTGTGGTGGGGATTCGTCTTGTTGTTTGTGTTTAAGGTAACTTCTTTTAGCGGCCTGTGTTGGTTTTGTGGTTTAATTCCGCTTTTAGTGGGTCTTGTTGGGTTCTTTTGTCTATGCTCTAACATCAGTGGATCGTGGTTTAGGTCTGGTCTAAGACGTCCTTCAGTGGGTCGTGTCTGTCTTACAGTTCCGGTCTAATAATTATTTTCATGGGTCGTCTTGGTCTAATGGTTTCTTTCTGTTCTGACCAGTAAGTCATTTAATGAGCCATTCGTTTTAGTTCAGCCCAAGCAGTTCAGGTAAGTGCCCAAGTTAGTACAGTGGTTTAGTTCCATTCCAATAATGTTTATAGGAACATGCTAGTCATGTGGTTAGTTCCGTTCAAATAATTCTCTTGTGGGTCGTTTTGGTCGATTATTCTATTGCAATAAGCGTTGCAACGGGCCGTGCTGGTCTCGTGGTTTCATTATACTCTAGCAATTCTTTCAGTGGGTCGTGTTGGTCTCCCGTTTTATTTCCGGTCAAAGCAGAGTGGGTCGTTTTGGCCATGGAGGTTAGTCTGTCCTCTCCGGCTGCTACCTGAAGCGAGTGGGTTCGAATCCCCGCCAGGGAGGTTGCTACACAGAGCATAAGAGATATGAAGCGTATCAGGTCGCTCTCGCAATGACCAAACTCTGTAAGCTGCATGTATCACAATAATCATGACTATTCTGTGATCAACGCTACGCATCATTGTGCGTTTTTTTTTTGTTTTTTTGTCTCTTACATTTTCTTCCATTTTCTCTTTATTATTTTTCTCATCACCTAGTATTTCCTCTTTTCGTTCTTGTGCGATATATGAAGACAAAATGCGTGCTCTGGAGTCACTGCAGAAGAGCTGGATAAAGTACAAAAGACCGTAAGGGTGATATTGATATTTTGGGATATGCAAAATCAGTCTATTGTTTTACCCATTGTCGGGGTAAGCCGTGCTACGGGAAGGCAATGAAATGCAGTGAATATAAACCACTGTTAGGTAAATCTTAGTGGCATCGTTTGTGCACTTGCGGGGAATTTGAAATACTTTATATTTGGGGTCTCTTCTCGGGCCCTGCTCAGTATTCCCCCCGTTTGGTGATTGTGGTTCCACTTTTTCTGTCTTTACAATTAGTTTCGTATTTCTGTATTAAGTTATACACACACACACACACACACANTGTGTGTGTGTGTGTGTGTGAGTGAGTGTGTTAGTGTGTGTGTGTGTGTGTGTGTGTAGACGTAAATGCATACACACTCATTTTCCTCCTTTTTCCCTCATCTCCGAGATTCCACCGGCCCGTCTCTCCGCCACCACCTCCCTCCCTCCACCTCGCCCCTCCCCCCTTAGCGCCGCAGGGGATGCCACATGCCGATGGGCTTCCTCAGCGCCGACATCATCTGGTTCCAGTGCGAGAGAGCCTTGCCCGTCGCCTGCGTGCCCACGATCACGTGACCCACCGCCCTCGCCTGACCTCCGTCCGCGCTGTGTTCGGCCACCGTGACGCGCAGCTGGATGTTCTGAGGAGGGAAAGGGAGGGTCGGATCTTCCTTCTTCATGTGGAGGGTAAGGAGGGAGGGAGGGAGGGAGGGAGGGGGAAGAGAGGGAGG